TTTCTACACATCTAAATATTTAAATAGCGGTAGATATTTTCATATGGACATCTATATTTAAACATATACATCTAAACTGTTTTTGTACAATTTAGGTGAAAAGTTAGATATACAATACATTTAATAGACTGATATATATTTAAGAAAGCTGAAGAAGAGAAGAGGAAATTCAGTAAACAAAAATCGAAATTTCGTATGAAAGTAAGAAAGCCGAAAGGATTGAAAAATCAAAACGGTGAAAACAAAACATTACCAACACAGATGGTAAAGGTCGAGGGAGAAGAACACTTTGAATCACCGAAAAAGAGGATTAACGGATTTGAAAGGGAAATCGAAGGAGTTCACATAAACTTTTTTGAGGGGGGCTAGGGCTTTTGGGTTCGGCGGGATAAGAAGGAAGATGGATGGTTTTTTTCACAAAACCATTCAAAACAAAGGAACATTTACACGTAAATATCACTCGGTTTTTGAAATGCAAGCAACAGTAAGGAAGGAGTATTCATTCGGTTTGAGGAGAAGCGCGTAAGACCATTTTAGTCTCATTTGATGGCGAAATATCATCTCACTAATAGCAACAAAACTACTTTTGCTATTTATTTAATTACCCCCAAAAAGTATTGTTACTATTTATTTAATTACCCCAAAAAGTATTGTTAGTAGGTGTAAATACTCTAAAAAAAGAATTGACATTTTCTTTATTTAAATTATATAGAATCAAAAATGGATAGGCGGGAGTGAAACTTAACGTAAGAATATCGGTCCTCCAAAAAAAAATATTAATATGAAAATGTTTTGGTAGGTACCATTTATGTTTCTTTTCAAAGGTAATTTTATTATTTTTTCTGTTACTCGAACCTCACTTTTTTTATTTTTGTGTGGAGGGGAGAAGAGAACGCTTTACTTCCTCCCTATCTCTCTAGAAAATTCTCTATGTCTTCCTCCATTGCCATTTCCTCAAAACTCTCGAGGAAGAAGACGACTCCGGAGAGGAGAAACGATGGGATTCTCCGTCGGGAAATCTCTCGAGTGAGAATCATGGTCTCTTATGGGCTTATAATCACCAACGCATCCA